AAGTCAGCCGCTTAACCGACTGAGCCACCCAGGCACCCCTAAAAGTATTTTCATATATGTGTAGTAGTAATATTGCTGATGGGGATCATAATCTTGGATGGGAGGAGGTCTATATAACTTCAGAGGTAGATGATGCAAGACCCTAGTCTAGGATTTTTGAAATAACAAGATACTTGTCTTTATTCGGGTTTAAGTGTTTTCTGATTAACTGTAAGATGCTTCAAATTTTCTTTAGAAGAAAGGTCAGTCATAAAAAAAACTACCAAGATAATTCAACAAATAGAAATCCAATTAACACTTTTATTGTTAGATCCTAGACATTAGCCCAAAAATGTAAACAGTCTAAAAACAGATGTAGAATCTCTTCCCTAAATAGTTTAAATTCCCAAATTTACACCATTAGTTGGCTTAGCAAGGACTTTTTTTTTGAGAGAGCAAGAGAACATGAGAGAGAGAGAGAGAGAGAGAGAGAGAGCGCGAGCATAGGCACACTAGTGGGGGAGGGGCAGAGGAAGAAGGAGATAGAATCTCAAGCAGGTTCCATGCCCAGTGGGGCTCAATCCCATGACCCTGGGATCATTAGCAAGAACTTTTTTTTTTTCATTAGAAGAACTTTTAAAAGCATTTTTTTAGCCTTATCCACTGAAACCATCTTAAATGTCTATCAACAAGAAAATTATTAAATTATTAAATAGTTAATTCACCGAGTGGAAGAGAGCCATGAAAATAAAAGTAGAAATGTAGCTATCGACATAGATGAATCTTACAAATACACTGTTGAGAGGAAAAGGTACAAATAAATACACACAGTACGATACTATCCACACAACAGTTTGAAAATCTGCCATGCATCAGTACACCTTATTATAAGGGATTATAAGCATAGGTAGTCGAAGTGGAAGGAAATGTGCTGGAGCGATCACCATCACCAAATCCGGGGTGGAGATGAGAAAGTGGATGATACTGGAGAAAGGCATATAGTGAGCCTTTGTAGTCCTGGTATTGTTTTATTCCTTAAGCTGGATGATGAGTGTATGAATGTTTATCATTAATACCCTTTATGCCTTTTCATATGTCTCAACATTTCTTAATAAATTTGAACCCAATGTACTTAATTATAATGACTCTGAATTATCCAAGTTAATGACGTGTATGAGTGCATACATTACTGACAGGCTGTGTGTAAATCAGATTTACAAACCATTTTTAAAATGCAATATGCAATATTCTTTTTTAGAAGATATCTGTGGTGGTTTTCTCATTCAACATTCACCCCTGGGTACCCTGAGTGTAAAAATTACTTATTGAATGAAGACATGTTCGATCAACATTAAGTGAATGCTGAATATGTGGCAGGCACTGTGATATATACTTGGGATCCAAATGTGAATAAGACAGGGTCCCATCTCTAAAGGAATTCTGTCTAATGAGAGAGACAGACCTGTAAATAAATAACTTCATTACAGTAAGACTTGATAAGAGGTGTGTACAGTGCTAAGGGACTACACAGGAGGCAGCTGCTAAATGTGCCTTGAAAGGTATAGAAAACTTATAGAAAAGGAAATTATATGCAAGGATATTGATGCTTTAAGAAAATTAATGGGGGGCACCTGGGTGGCTCAGTCGCTTAAGTGACTGCCTTCAGCTCAGGTCATGATCTTGTGGTTCATGAGTTCGAGTCCCACGTCAGGCTCTGTGCTGACAGCTCAGAGCCTGGAGCCTGCTTCGGATTCTGTGTCTCCCTCTCTCTCTGCCTCTCCCCTGCTTGCACTCTATCTTTCTCTCTCTCAAAATTAAATAAACATTAAAAAAAATTTTTTTAAAGAAAAAAGAAAACTAATG